TTATTTGATGTCAATAAAAGAAACAAAAGAAGACAAAACAAGTTTGAATGTTGTATTACTTTTATTGAGTGAATGAAATAATACTTTCTGGAACAAAAGTTATGAGTAATGAGAAACAGTATTTAAAAATATTATCAGAAAAAGAAAATTAAAAAAAAAAAAACGGCGCATGCGTATATTAGGCGCCCGTATTATTACTAAGTTTTTTAGCGGGGAAAATTAATTTTTTTAACACAAGTTACTTACACCAAGTATAAAGATTCTTTTTGAAAAAAAAATGGCGCATGCGTATTTTAAGCGCCCGTATTTTTTCTAAGTTTTTTGGCGGGAAAATTAAAAATTTTGACATGGGTTACCTCAAGAGTAAAATTTAGGCAGCCAAGACAAATGTTTAAAAACATTTAATAATCAAGAGAAACTGATTTTGTATATAATTTTGGTCCGTAAAAGAAAACTAGCAAAAAGTTGCGATTCTAAACACGAAGACTAACTATAGAAAATTTGATTTACGAGGACTTGTGAAGACTTACGAAGCTCACGATATGAGAACTCGGTGAATCATATGATAGAAACGTACTTGACTATTGAACAACAGTAGTGTTACTTACACTAACGACCGTTGAGAATATGTTAAAAAGTTTTGAACGGGAATTATTCAAATTCAGGAAATTTTGCCGTATTTTAACTGCTATCTCAGAAAATAAAGAAAATAAAGTTTCTTTTGGTACCCTGCTGCCTTGCTGTTTGTCTAAACAAGCCAACAGAATACCAAAAGGCACTTCACAATCTTTATTTGCTACATTAATAGTTAAATCTCCCGTTGCAATGCCGTGTATTGAAATTCTCGCACAAATCCTTATTAACGTATTCTCAACGGCCGCTAGTGTAACGCAACACCACTGATTTCCAAGAGACACGTACGCGTCAGTCACACAATCCACCAAGCTCTTGCATCGTGAACAAAGGCAAAACGATTAAAATTTGTAAAGCAAAGTCGACGAAACATTTTCTCGAAAACCTAACTGTAAATCATTCTTCGGGACAGTTTTTTTGCGAGGAAAACATCGCCGATCTTAACGTTTAGTCCACGGAAAAAATCTATCTTATACGTCCTACTTTTTGGTTTGAAAAATCTCTCAATCTGTCTTACGTTGGTCCTTGGCGTACTTCATGTATGTCTGTTCTTAGTGTCCTGACTTCTTAATATTGCCTCCAGTGTCTTGCCCTTGTCTTTGCTTTTGCTTTTGCCTTCGACTTCCCTCAGTCGTCTCGTCACAAAGAAATCCTGATAAAAAGAGAGGGAAAAAGTGTTTGATTTATATTACACTGAGCTTTGCAATGTAGTTAAAGGTAAAGGTAAAGGTAAGGGTAAGGGTAAAGGTAAAGTCTACATACGAGCCTTTAAATAGCTCATAAGGCCGAAGCTTACATGTATCCCGGTTTCTGTAGCATGAAGCGACTAGGAATATTTCTACTACCCCCTGGATGGGATGCTAGTCTATCGCAGGTTACCCCGCCAACATTAAATTCGCAGGTACCCATTTATACACCTGGGTGGAGAGAGGCACTGTGGGCGTAAACAGTCTTGCCCAAGAACACAACACAGTGTCCTCGGCCATGGCTCAAACTCAGACCGCTCGATCTGAAAAAGAGTGTATTTATTAGGAGACGACCATCCATGCCTCCATGCCGCAAGACCATGTCCCTGGCCTGCTCGATCATGAAGCCACCGTGCCTCGCTGTGTAATGTACCATTTTGTAACGTACTGACACTTTATTTGCAACTACACAAAGCTTTCTTCATCCTATCTTGTATTGATGGTTTTTTAATTCTCATCACCTGTTTGCTTGACAATGAACTGATTTTGTAAAATAATGGATCTGAAAACCTCAAGATTAATTTGTAGTAACTATTAAATTAATAATGGCTTTGAGGACTTCCTGCTTTTCGTTGCTCTTTAAACAGAGAGGAGTAAGTAGACCATACATGTAGCACAGGCTTCGAAGCCAACAATACAAATGAAATATGAATGGTCACTGAAAATTTCAATTCCTGTCAGTGGTCAAATTATATGGATCAGTTTTAAAAAATAATTTGGAATAATCTGTCATCTGTCAGTTGTCAGTAAGGACGAGGTGATAAAAACACGATTTGTCAGTTAAAATTAGGAATTATTTGTCAAATGTCAGTATGCAGAAATCAAAACATGACTTGTCTGATAAAATTTGGAGCCATCTGTCAGTTGTCAGTATGGATGTTGAGATTGAAGCACGCAATTTATCAGTTAAACATTGGAACCATGTGTCACTTGTCAGTAAAGAGCGTGTTTTGACAAGTAATTAGTAATTGAAATCCTCTGTCAGTTGTCAGTGCAGATATAAAGATCTAAACGTGACTTGTCAGATCACATTTGGAATCACAGATCTTTCAGTTGTCAATAAGGATGTCAAGATCAAAGCAATGGATTTGTCAGTAAAAACTTGGAATCATCTGTCTGTGTTCAGTAAGGATATTGAGATCAAAAAATAATTTGTCAGATATAATTTGGAAACTTCTGTCAGTTGTCAATTAGGAAGTAGAGATCAAAATGTATGATTAGTCAGTTCAAATTTGGAATGATCTGTTAAATGTCAGTACGAAGGTTGAGATCAAAACATGACTTGTCATGAGTGGTCAGTTAGGATGTTGAGATCAAAACATATTTGTCAGTTAAAAGATGGAATTATCTTTATCAATCTCATTGATAATTCATCAAGATTAAACAAAGGAAATCATGACCGTGACAGTGTTTGGATATATGATCTTAATTAGCGTAGATTTTTACGATTTTATTTCTCTGTTTTCCCCTTAGTTTTGGTTTCGATTAAGAAGATATATCAAACACTTAAGACAGTGTTTGACCACATTTCCAAACATCTTGAAGTTCGTCAAAAACACTGCACTGTGCGTTGTATTTTCACCTCTCTTCTCGGTGTTTGGAAATGTGGTCAAACATGGTCTTTCATGTTTGATATATTATGTCAAATGTCTGTACGCAGGCTGACAGCAAAACATCATTTGTCTGATAAAATTTGGACTCTTGTCAGTTGTCAATTAGGATGTTGAGATCAAAACATGACTTGTCATAAGTTGTCAGTAAGGATGCTTAGATCAAAAATAATTTGTCAATTAAATTTGGAATCATCTGTTGTTGTCAGTATGGCTGTTGAGATCGAAACTGTCACACATAATCTGTCAGTCACTGCTGTCCATAAGGATGCTGAGATTGAAGCCTGATTTGTCAGTTAAAATTTGAAATCCTCTGTCAGTTGTCAGTGCAGATATTGGGATTAAAGCATGTTATGTCAGTTAAAATTTGCAATCATTTGTCAGTCCTCAATAAGGACATTCAAGATCAAAATTTGGAATCATCAGTCAGTAGCTAGTTCAGATGCTGCGATGGAAACATGACTTGTTGGTATTATTTGGAATCGTTAACAAGTCAGTTGTTAGTGAGGATGTTGAAATTAAAGCATGATTTGTTTAAAAATTTGGAGCCATCTGTCAGTTGTCAATAATTTTCTCATTCCAAATTAGAAATTAAATTCTCTCTATCAATACTATATCAAGAAGACAAGTGACGAGAATAAAGAAAATCAGCAACTAGACAATATTATACAGCAAGCAAATTTACAAAACTCACACCCCCAAAATATCACAATAAGTGGGGAGAATTCATGATTATTTTGAGCCTGTACATTTCAAAGCCTGTTCAGTTAAATTTCCTAACGAAGGTCAACACATTTGAACCTCAGGAGAAACTAGAAATTTGTAAAAAAAATTGACTAAATCTAAATCCATTAATTGCTTGAAGTGAAACAAAGAAGCACTATTTCTTCATCTTCCAAAAAAGGCATAGATGATCCCAAATAATTTTGACACCAACAAATGCCATTCAACCAAATTTTGCAATACTGAATTCCATTCTATAATGGTACTGTTCTTCAAAATGATTACAATAACAATGACAATACACTAATCATCTGACTTCAGGTAAAGAAAAACTTAGACTGACCTGCCATGTCTGATGTATTTCACTTCCTCCACTGATCTTTTGATTTTTATGTGTTTCTTGTTTGCCCTGATAAGAGATACCAACATACTGTTGAGTTACTTACGATTTCTTACTATTGGTATAGTTTAGCATTCTTAATTTAACTGATGGAATAACAACTAATAAGTAAAGTAGTCTGTAATAATATCACATTCAATAAACTTGCAAACACCTTTAATTTGCAGATACCAGAAATATAAACTGACCTGATCTAGCTGTATCTGACTCCTCCATTGACGTTAGCTGTCCCATGTTGCTGTTTACTTCTTGTTTGCCTGATAATAAATGAAAATATTTCAGTGAAAGACCTATTACTTGCAGTTTCCTTTTGAGTAGAAGTTATTACAAGCAACATTGAAACTAGCATTAAAAAACAATGTATCAATAAAGGCAATCATCTGAACAACAGCTCTATTGATGTTTCTCCAGCAACCCATAATGCATTGCAGTTTCATGAGACTAAATGTAATTTAGGCAAAGTTTGAGTTGAGTCAGTGCTGGTCAGAGGTCTCTCAGGGCAATCATGCTCGGTGGGGTCTCTTATGGGGTTTTGCAGGGCTTATGTGTTTTGCTTGCCAGCTGTGTGGGAACATGCAGTTTGGCTTTGAGTGCCATTCGTGCCTGTTGAATGCAAGCTTTTGTTCCCTCACCTCCCTCCCTTTCGCTGGTGAGGGTAAGTATACGAGGTGGTAAGTATCTCCACTGACTCTGTCAGTGTGACGCTGTCTGGTGGTTGTTGCTCTCAAGGTTGCTGTGGATACCTGCATGCTCTGCTCTGTATCTCGGCTCTACCATCCCTAAGGCACCTTTCCCAAGCTGAGTTTAAAAGCTAAATAAGCTCATCATTCAACCTTCTCAACACATCAAGATAATCCAGTGTTCTTTTGAATGAAGCCTTAACTACTCTATTTAGTCAAGTCAATTTTCCAAGCTTTCACTAATCCATGGCATCATTGACTTGACTTGAGTAAATTATACAGTATTAAACACCCCACTCGAAAGAACACTAGATGAAGGAACACACTTAACTCTAAAATCAAGATAAATTTAGAACTCATTATACAGGAGCCCTGACATCTCTACACTAGAGGACAAATTCCCCCAAAGTGACAGCTAAAACAGATGAGGAGGCAAAACTGTTGAACAGGTTTGCAAGGAAAAAAAATTCAGTCTGTACCAACAACCGCGGTCAAGATTCTCCCATACAGACCTCCTGCTCGGTTAATAAGAGCTAAGTATTGTTACAGTGTCTGATTGGCCAGGGCTTAAGATTTAATTTTATCCAGAATCTAATTCACGAGATATCGATTTATTTTGGCTAAATAAATGTCTCAAAACATATTTAGGTCTTTTCAACCATTTAAGTAATCAAAAGTAGCAATAAAACATAATGTTTTCATTACATGCACATACCGACGATGGCCAACGACACGACTTTCCATCTTGAGGTCGCTTGTTGCTTCTGGTTACTGAATAAGTTTGTTCCATCAGCAAACTTTTGCGTCTGGGACACATTTAGGAACATTTCTTGTGATATAGACACAGCATTGGCCAAAGCGTTGAACAAAGAAGCTTCCAAGACATCGTGTAAACGAGGGGACGTAAATTAATTTGCAATGCAAATACTGTTTGAGTGCCAGGGCTGCCCGTCTTTCTTAGCCGGCGGGGCCTGGGCGCGAGGAAAGGGAGGCTCTGAGGACTTTCCTGTACAGTAGCTAAATCAATACTGGTTTTATTCTTAGAAATATCCACTTGTTGATCTCTAACTACAGCCTTTGCACTAGAGCTTCTACAGAGTTACGTTTTAACAATGGGAGCAAAGGAAAGATTTGTTAACGAGTATCAGCTTCTTTGAGTAAGGTTACTAGTAAGGAATCAAACTGATGTATGAAGTGTTTGATGAGGCAAGGTCCAGGAGTGTGGGCAGCGATGAACCTGTAGAAGCAGCCTTTGCAGAAGCGCTTGATTTCGCCGAAGGAATAAGAAACGTGTTGCTTACTGGTCTGGATCCCGGGGGAGGACTCCCATATAAAAAAGACTGGGGTGCTCGTCGTACAATTAAGGGGTTGAACTGCGGAGAAAACCTGGGGAGCACAAGCTTAAAAAGCCGTACGGTATGGTATGATTACGAATTCCAAGGGATAGTTTATTGTAACAGACAGTGAGGAGAGTAAAGTAAAGGTTTTTGACAGAAATGGACACTTAGGGATCATTTTCGTGTCTCTCCTGACTAAATCACCTATAAAACAGTGGTCCATGCCGCCCTTAGCGCGGCCATTTTTTTTTTTATTCGCGTGGTTTTCTTTCGCGTCATGCACGACGAACTAAGAGACAGAGGGACTACTCGTGGTAGCTGAACATCAAAACTTTTCTGTACAGCTGACAGATACCATATGGTTTTTCACAAGCAAGCCAATAACAATTCCTTTTTAAAATATTTATTTTCAGTGTTGTTTAAAATGTGAATGATGGTTTAAATCGCGACTCAACAAACAAGTTCTCCCTATTTGTCTCGATACATGACTTACAGTCGGGGTTAAGGGAATTTCTTTAACTATAATGCAATGAAAATAATTTTACTTAGGTTATTTTTTGGCTGTATGATTGTTCACGCATCATTAACATCAGGACGAATTGCATTCTGATCAGTATTACGACCAAATGGTTCGTTACAATCCTCCAGTACACATCGACACACTCAATTATCTTTGCCGTGATATAAATATAATATACTTTAATTTATTTCCCCTCTTGTTCATACTTCATTCGCGAGCTTTGTTTCTCTTTTCAAAGGGTCCAAGTTAACTTAGTAAGTGCGAAAGCGATAGGTCACCGTAGTATTGATTAGAGTCTTGAATATAAATTTGTCTTTGACACCAAATTCTTGAAACACAGTCCTCCCCGCGAAATATCCTTGTGCCAGTCCACACGCTGTATTGTTTTTTCTTCTCACTCGGCCTCAGGCGCTTCCTCGTCCTCGTCCTCCTCCTTTTGTTCTTGACCTTGTTCTTGGAATTGTACCAGCTGCGCATGTCTCTTCACGGTCTGGCCAGCATCATACAGTACCTTTTCTATTACGCCTGCTTTTGGTGCTCTAATGACGTGCTAAAGAAGTAAAACAAAACAATAATAACAATAATAATCATTTTATTACTTATAAAGCGCAAAATTCGTTAAAATATGATCTAATGCACACGGAATTCTGAGAAAACGATAACATTAGAGCGCTTTACAGCTTGAAAACAGTACTAACCGTTTCCAGAAAGCTACAATGAGATCACCGTCGAAGGAGTAAGTTCTTTTACCAATCGCAGCAACAATGGTCTTTTTATGAGCCAATAAGGTAGAAAATCATAATCACGTGATTTGACTTGCACGCCTTTTCCCGCGCCTGCCGCTGGTTACGTGAAAGTGCTTTGAGTTCTGATTGGTTGACTACGATATTACCCGCGCTTTTGTAAAGTGTACGCTGGACAACATGAAACACGGCGCAAATAGTGGTTCTTAGATAAAACTTTGCTGTGGGATTGGCTGAGAAAAATCATGTTCTCATTGAACACAGCAGAGAAGTCGTTTGGCGCCAGTTGGGAGAAACACTGAACCTTGTCACTGAATTATGCGTCACATGTTTTCCCGCTCTTTTTAGCAGTCACANGCTTTGAGGACTTCCTGCTTTTCGTTGCTCTTTAAACAGAGAGGAGTAAGTAGACCATACATGTAGCACAGGCTTCGAAGCCAACAATACAAATGAAATATGAATGGTCACTGAAAATTTCAATTCCTGTCAGTGGTCAAATTATATGGATCAGTTTTAAAAAATAATTTGGAATAATCTGTCATCTGTCAGTTGTCAGTAAGGACGAGGTGATAAAAACACGATTTGTCAGTTAAAATTAGGAATTATTTGTCAAATGTCAGTATGCAGAAATCAAAACATGACTTGTCTGATAAAATTTGGAGCCATCTGTCAGTTGTCAGTATGGATGTTGAGATTGAAGCACGCAATTTATCAGTTAAACATTGGAACCATGTGTCACTTGTCAGTAAAGAGCGTGTTTTGACAAGTAATTAGTAATTGAAATCCTCTGTCAGTTGTCAGTGCAGATATAAAGATCTAAACGTGACTTGTCAGATCACATTTGGAATCACAGATCTTTCAGTTGTCAATAAGGATGTCAAGATCAAAGCAATGGATTTGTCAGTAAAAATTTGGAATCATCTGTCTGTGTTCAGTAAGGATATTGAGATCAAAAAATAATTTGTCAGATATAATTTGGAAACTTCTGTCAGTTGTCAATTAGGAAGTAGAGATCAAAATGTATGATTAGTCAGTTCAAATTTGGAATGATCTGTTAAATGTCAGTACGAAGGTTGAGATCAAAACATGACTTGTCATGAGTGGTCAGTTAGGATGTTGAGATCAAAACATATTTGTCAGTTAAAAGATGGAATTATCTTTATCAATCTCATTGATAATTCATCAAGATTAAACAAAGGAAATCATGACCGTGACAGTGTTTGGATATATGATCTTAATTAGCGTAGATTTTTACGATTTTATTTCTCTGTTTTCCCCTTAGTTTTGGTTTCGATTAAGAAGATATATCAAACACTTAAGACAGTGTTTGACCACATTTCCAAACATCTTGAAGTTCGTCAAAAACACTGCACTGTGCGTTGTATTTTCACCTCTCTTCTCGGTGTTTGGAAATGTGGTCAAACATGGTCTTTCATGTTTGATATATTATGTCAAATGTCTGTACGCAGGCTGACAGCAAAACATCATTTGTCTGATAAAATTTGGACTCTTGTCAGTTGTCAATTAGGATGTTGAGATCAAAACATGACTTGTCATAAGTTGTCAGTAAGGATGCTTAGATCAAAAATAATTTGTCAATTAAATTTGGAATCATCTGTTGTTGTCAGTATGGCTGTTGAGATCGAAACTGTCACACATAATCTGTCAGTCACTGCTGTCCATAAGGATGCTGAGATTGAAGCCTGATTTGTCAGTTAAAATTTGAAATCCTCTGTCAGTTGTCAGTGCAGATATTGGGATTAAAGCATGTTATGTCAGTTAAAATTTGCAATCATTTGTCAGTCCTCAATAAGGACATTCAAGATCAAAATTTGGAATCATCAGTCAGTAGCTAGTTCAGATGCTGCGATGGAAACATGACTTGTTGGTATTATTTGGAATCGTTAACAAGTCAGTTGTTAGTGAGGATGTTGAAATTAAAGCATGATTTGTTTAAAAATTTGGAGCCATCTGTCAGTTGTCAATAATTTTCTCATTCCAAATTAGAAATTAAATTCTCTCTATCAATACTATATCAAGAAGACAAGTGACGAGAATAAAGAAAATCAGCAACTAGACAATATTATACAGCAAGCAAATTTACAAAACTCACACCCCCAAAATATCACAATAAGTGGGGAGAATTCATGATTATTTTGAGCCTGTACATTTCAAAGCCTGTTCAGTTAAATTTCCTAACAAAGGTCAACACATTTGAACCTCAGGAGAAACTAGAAATTTGTAAAAAAAATCGACTAAATCTAAATCCATTAATTGCTTGAAGTGAAACAAAGAAGCACTATTTCTTCATCTTCTAAAAAAGGCATAGATGATCCCAAATAATTTTGACACCAACAAATGCCATTCAACCAAATTTTGCAAAACTGAATTCCATTCTATAATGGTACTGTTCTTCAAAATGATTACAATAACAATGACAATACACTAATCGTCTGACTTCAGGTAAAGAAAAACTTAGACTGACCTGCCACGTCTGATGTAGTTCACTTCCTCCACTAATCTTTTGATGTTTACGTGTTTCTTGTTTGCCCTGATAAGAGATACCAACATACTGTTGAGTTACTTACGATTTCTTACTATTGGTATAGTTTAGCATTCTTAATTTAACTGATGGAATAACAACTAATAAGTAAAGTAGTCTGTAATAATATCACATTCAATAAACTTGCAAACACCTTTAATTTGCAGATACCAGAAATATAAACTGACCTGATCTAGCTGTATCTGACTCCTCCATTGACGTTAGCTGTCCCATGTTGCTGTTTACTTCTTGTTTGCCTGATAATAAATGAAAATATTTCAGTGAAAGACCTATTACTTGCAGTTTCCTTTTGAGTAGAAGTTATTACAAGCAACATTGAAACTAGCATTAAAAAACAATGTATCAATAAAGGCAATCATCTGAACAACAGCTCTATTGATGTTTCTCCAGCAACCCATAATGCATTGCAGTTTCATGAGACTAAATGTAATTTAGGCAAAGTTTGAGTTGAGTCAGTGCTGGTCAGAGGTCTCTCAGGGCAATCATGCTCGGTGGGGTCTCTTATGGGGTTTTGCAGGGCTTATGTGTTTTGCTTGCCAGCTGTGTGGGAACATGCAGTTTGGCTTTGAGTGCCATTCGTGCCTGTTGAATGCAAGCTTTTGTTCCCTCACCTCCCTCCCTTTCGCTGGTGAGGGTAAGTATACGAGGTGGTAAGTATCTCCACTGACTCTGTCAGTGTGACGCTGTCTGGTGGTTGTTGCTCTCAAGGTTGCTGTGGATACCTGCATGCTCTGCTCTGTATCTCGGCTCTACCATCCCTAAGGCACCTTTCCCAAGCTGAGTTTAAAAGCTAAATAAGCTCATCATTCAACCTTCTCAACACATCAAGATAATCCAGTGTTCTTTTGAATGAAGCCTTAACTACTCTATTTAGTCAAGTCAATTTTCCAAGCTTTCACTAATCCATGGCATCATTGACTTGACTTGAGTAAATTATACAGTATTAAACACCCCACTCGAAAGAACACTAGATGAAGGAACACACTTAACTCTAAAATCAAGATAAATTTAGAACTCATTATACAGGAGCCCTGACATCTCTACACTAGAGGACAAATTCCCCCAAAGTGACAGCTAAAACAGATGAGGAGGCAAAACTGTTGAACAGGTTTGCAAGGAAAAAAAATTCAGTCTGTACCAACAACCGCGGTCAAGATTCTCCCATACAGACCTCCTGCTCGGTTAATAAGAGCTAAGTATTGTTACAGTGTCTGATTGGCCAGGGCTTAAGATTTAATTTTATCCAGAATCTAATTCACGAGATATCGATTTATTTTGGCTAAATAAATGTCTCAAAACATATTTAGGTCTTTTCAACCATTTAAGTAATCAAAAGTAGCAATAAAACATAATGTTTTCATTACATGCACATACCGACGATGGCCAACGACACGACTTTCCATCTTGAGGTCGCTTGTTGCTTCTGGTTACTGAATAAGTTTGTTCCATCAGCAAACTTTTGCGTCTGGGACACATTTAGGAACATTTCTTGTGATATAGACACAGCATTGGCCAAAGCGTTGAACAAAGAAGCTTCCAAGACATCGTGTAAACGAGGGGACGTAAATTAATTTGCAATGCAAATACTGTTTGAGTGCCAGGGCTGCCCGTCTTTCTTAGCCGGCGGGGCCTGGGCGCGAGGAAAGGGAGGCTCTGAGGACTTTCCTGTACAGTAGCTAAATCAATACTGGTTTTATTCTTAGAAATATCCACTTGTTGATCTCTAACTACAGCCTTTGCACTAGAGCTTCTACAGAGTTACGTTTTAACAATGGGAGCAAAGGAAAGATTTGTTAACGAGTATCAGCTTCTTTGAGTAAGGTTACTAGTAAGGAATCAAACTGATGTATGAAGTGTTTGATGAGGCAAGGTCCAGGAGTGTGGGCAGCGATGAACCTGTAGAAGCAGCCTTTGCAGAAGCGCTTGATTTCGCCGAAGGAATAAGAAACGTGTTGCTTACTGGTCTGGATCCCGGGGGAGGACTCCCATATAAAAAAGACTGGGGTGCTCGTCGTACAATTAAGGGGTTGAACTGCGGAGAAAACCTGGGGAGCACAAGCTTAAAAAGCCGTACGGTATGGTATGATTACGAATTCCAAGGGATAGTTTATTGTAACAGACAGTGAGGAGAGTAAAGTAAAGGTTTTTGACAGAAATGGACACTTAGGGATCATTTTCGTGTCTCTCCTGACTAAATCACCTATAAAACAGTGGTCCATGCCGCCCTTAGCGCGGCCATTTTTTTTTTTATTCGCGTGGTTTTCTTTCGCGTCATGCACGACGAACTAAGAGACAGAGGGACTACTCGTGGTAGCTGAACATCAAAACTTTTCTGTACAGCTGACAGATACCATATGGTTTTTCACAAGCAAGCCAATAACAATTCCTTTTTAAAATATTTATTTTCAGTGTTGTTTAAAATGTGAATGATGGTTTAAATCGCGACTCAACAAACAAGTTCTCCCTATTTGTCTCGATACATGACTTACAGTCGGGGTTAAGGGAATTTCTTTAACTATAATGCAATGAAAATAATTTTACTTAGGTTATTTTTTGGCTGTATGATTGTTCACGCATCATTAACATCAGGACGAATTGCATTCTGATCAGTATTACGACCAAATGGTTCGTTACAATCCTCCAGTACACATCGACACACTCAATTATCTTTGCCGTGATATAAATATAATATACTTTAATTTATTTCCCCTCTTGTTCATACTTCATTCGCGAGCTTTGTTTCTCTTTTCAAAGGGTCCAAGTTAACTTAGTAAGTGCGAAAGCGATAGGTCACCGTAGTATTGATTAGAGTCTTGAATATAAATTTGTCTTTGACACCAAATTCTTGAAACACAGTCCTCCCCGCGAAATATCCTTGTGCCAGTCCACACGCTGTATTGTTTTTTCTTCTCACTCGGCCTCAGGCGCTTCCTCGTCCTCGTCCTCCTCCTTTTGTTCTTGACCTTGTTCTTGGAATTGTACCAGCTGCGCATGTCTCTTCACGGTCTGGCCAGCATCATACAGTACCTTTTCTATTACGCCTGCTTTTGGTGCTCTAATGACGTGCTAAAGAAGTAAAACAAAACAATAATAACAATAATAATCATTTTATTACTTATAAAGCGCAAAATTCGTTAAAATATGATCTAATGCACACGGAATTCTGAGAAAACGATAACATTAGAGCGCTTTACAGCTTGAAAACAGTACTAACCGTTTCCAGAAAGCTACAATGAGATCACCGTCGAAGGAGTAAGTTCTTTTACCAATCGCAGCAACAATGGTCTTTTTATGAGCCAATAAGGTAGAAAATCATAATCACGTGATTTGACTTGCACGCCTTTTCCCACGCATGCCGCTGGTTACGTGAAAGTGCTTTGAGTTCTGATTGGTTGACTACGATATTACCCGCGCTTTTGTAAAGTGTACGCTGGACAACATGAAACACGGCGCAAATAGTGGTTCTTAGATAAAACTTTGCTGTGGGATTGGCTGAGAAAAATCATGTTCTCATTGAACACAGCAGAGAAGTCGTTTGGCGCCAGTTGGGAGAAACACTGAACCTTGTCACTGAATTATGCGTCACATGTTTTCCCGCTCTTTTTAGCAGTCACAGTTTTTGTTTCGTTTCCTCTGAAACGAAACGGTATTGTTTTCAGTTCAAGGGTGAACTATTTACACAGTGATTTGTAGTATCCCATCAGAGTAAAGTTCGTAATCGTTAATGTAAATACGGTGGAAATTCGGTCATCGCAACAAAATGTGGCGTTCCGAACATTTCAATTGCTGCTTTATTCGAAAATGAGGAATTACGACTGAAACTCTCGTTTCTCGTTATTAAAATACACAAGAAAACTACACACTGGACTTCTATTCGGATAGTAATAGTGAAAAGGAAGTTTA